AGGTGATTTGTGATCTAGTGTCAGACATTTCTGATATCAATTTTTATGAAAGAGGCGATGGATCGTTATGCCATATTGTAACGTCAGTAGCAAAGCTATGTAGATACTCGCTCATGAGATACCCCGCGGGGTGAGGGCCCGGGGGGAAAACTGGGCGAGAGGGGTACTGTGGTACGGGGGGAGCAGCTAATGAGCGAGCTGCTTTTACCTCCCACCACCTCTAGCAGTTTTCCTCCCCGGCCTCCGTCCCCACGGGTGCATGTGTGTGTGACCTCGTGATGTCACGACGCGAGGAGCGACGTAACGAAGATCCTGCGAGCTCGAGAGCGGAAGGGCGACTGAGGGAGTTCGCGCGTTTTTTCGCACCAACGCCCGTTCGCTCGCACCCTCCCCCCTTCGGCCCCCTCGCCGACGAAGTATCCAGAACCCCGCTGTACTGTATGCTCGATCTTACTCCCACCAACGCCCGTTCGCTCTCGCTCGCGTCGATGGATTGGAAGATTCGACCGAGCGAAGATTTTTTCAAGGACACGCCGCGACATGTCAAGACATGTTTTCGCGGGTGACGTCATCGATGCGTTCGTGTTTTGTTAGTATGTGTTTAAGAAAAAAGATATATTAAATAAGAATGATTTTTACGCAGTTTTTTTGCGTATTTTCCTGGTGGATACCACATCCTTATCGGATGCGCCAATGCCCGTTCGCTCTCGCTCGCATCGATGCCGTTCGATAGCTCTCGCTCACACCAACGCCCCATGCTGTTCACCTGACGCCCGTTCGATCGCTCTCGCTCGCAATCGCATCGATGCCGTTCGATCACTCTCGCTCACACCAATGCCCTGCGCTGTTCATCTGACGCCCGTTCGATCGCTCTCATTCACACCAACGCTCGTGCCGTTCGAACGCTTTCGCTCACACTTGCATCGATGCCGTTCGATCGTTCTCGCTCGCACTCGCACCGATGCCGTTCGATCGCATTTGCTCACATCAAACGCCCCATGCTGTTCACCTGACGCCCATTCTTTACTGTTGTGTTTTTCTAAAGTATTTGTTTAAAAAAGTTATTAAAATAAGAATCAATCGTGATTTGCTTTTACACAGTTTTTTGCGTATTTTCCTGTTGGGATACTACATCCTTCACGAGAATTATCATAAGGATATCTATTTTTATGCAGTTTTGTATCCTCGATAGAAACCACATCCATTAACACGTTTGATGGGGACAATGGTATATAAATGCTTATGGGCGAGGCTTTTTCGTCATACGTACTGTTTTATTGTTTTCCGTAACGTTTGTGTTAGTGAGAGTGTATAATGAGCAATTTGTAGAAACTGTTAGAGATTACATATTAGTTTCCAGTTGACGGAGTAAGTGTGTTTGTCTTTTGTGTATATTTTTAATTTTTTATTGTAAATGTACTTTATGTTACTGTTCTTATTCCAGTATATCGTCGTTGACAACGAACGAGTGAGTTGCAATTGGCTAATGAGGTGAAGATTCTGAAGATTCCATTCGTAAGTTTAGTAGAACGTATAAAATTTTACAATATAATGTATAAAGTATAAATAACAATATGTATCTAATTCACTTTTATGCTCTGTTTCAGGCTACACACCGCGGGAATTTGCGTATACGTGGATTTATGAATAATTTTAACAGACAGATGATACGCGCGGACAGATGGGCCGAGCGAGAGTTTAGATCGGAATATATGGATATCTAGGGCGACGAGGATCTGTTTCTCAATGAACTCTTCAGTCTCCGAACGTATGAACCTAATTTTGCAGAGGACATGTGGGAATGTAAGTTGAAATATTTGATTTGTACAAATATAATTTTTTAAAAATACGTATATATCTATCATCTTACAGAAAGCTGCGGCTTTTTTTCGAGACGTCACGCTCGCGCACGCACTGTGGTATTGTAGCGCGCTCACAACACACACTCCATATATTTATAAAAATAAATTAAGTAAAAAGTTATTAATATTATAATAATAAGTATCATGAGTTGTTACCTTAATTTGTACAGTATCCAGAGTCATCCGACGTGTACTCCAAATCATCGATGTTCCCGATATCTTCAAAGTCTTCAACTTCATCGAAAACCTCATCGATAATTTGGAGTAGACGTTCTTCGGATATATTCTGCACGATATTCTATGTTTTCCATCACGTATTGTAATGTACACTGCACAAGTTTCATAGATTAATTGTTCGCGACAGCGCGAGTGATAATATATAGTATGCAATTATTAGGTGTTAAACTTAATTCCTGCTGCTCGCTACTAGAGGATGCTGACTCCAACGCTGGCGAGTTTCGACGATGAAGTTATATGTCTTTTGTAGTTTAGACATCGCTGAAAGTGATTCAATCCTCACAGATTAGATTTCTCTACGCCAAAGAGATTTTCCAATCGATTGAAAATGAATCGCGATAAGCTGTTTTTCCGACATGTGCTTCTTCACTACTTCGACCTCAAGAAAACCGCAGCTGAAGCGCATCGCTTATTATCCGAAGTGCATGGTGATGAAACTCCATCGGAAAGAACATGTAGAGTTTAGTTTAAACGCTTCCGGAACGGTGATTTTGATGTGAGAGACAAAGAACATCCAGGACAGCCGAAAAAATTTGAAGATGTCGAGCTGCAAGAATTGCTTGATGAGAATCCAGCTCAAACGTTTTTAGAGTTGTCGAAACAGTCAAATGTTACTCCAAAGGCCGATTGAGTGACGAATTGATGCAAAAAAGATCATCCGTAGCCAACAATCGATATAAAGTTGTAACGATGCACCCCCAGAAATGCATCGTCCCTGGCAATACCAGCTCGCCGGATG